CACTCTCATCACGCAACCTGAAGGCAAATGAATTGGCAGAGTGATTAAACACCATGTTAGCTGTCAATTAGTACTCCAGTTCCATATTGACGACAGTTATGCAAATCTAAAATGAGAGATTACCGAAAAATCCGAACGAGGGTGATGGCTAACGGATGAAGATGTCGGCATAACAATTTAATCAAATCAGAGAAGAGATCGGAGCGTCTCGAGACATAACCGAATTTGAAAGTATGGCAAATTGGGAATGGGGAAGGGTGTTGTTCTTTAAGGTAGCTATACAAATATCTATGTGCATAATTTTTCAGAATTCGAAATGAGTAATACTGATACCCAGGAAGGAAAAAACGAAAGCACGTCGGTCAAGACGCTTTCAGGGGCATTAACGTAGCGGTTACTTTAGCGGTTGTAAGTTGATAAGCTTAGTCAGGCTACCTGCGTTCGGGTTAGAACATACGTTTGGGTACATCGTGAATACCAGCGATTAAGAATATATTTTATCTCTAAGGAGAGCGAACTCATTTTCTTTTAATGAGGTAAGAATTTTCATGCAGAAAAATCAACATTCTTGCCCGCGTACTTCAGCATGTGCTGTTGCGGCTTCGGGCCGTTGAATTCTTTCGGGAAACGAACAGTTATTGCTCAATACATCATTATCTCAGCCCCTGACTCTTTCAAATACTTCAAGCGAAATTTTCCCCGCCTAGCATTTGTTAGCTGACACTAAAGTAACGATATGGAGCAGGACATGATGGATTTATCTACAGGGCGTCTAAGCTATGTTGTTGATTTTAGGAACCGCCTTCAAGAGTTGCTGCTCATCATTAGTGGAGTCGCATTAAATTTACTGAAGGAAGAACACTTATTGAAAACAAAGCACTCTATCAATAAGTTAATGCTAACCTGTGTCAGGAAAATTTCGATTAAAATGAATTATTTTTTAGTTTTATTTAATACTTAAAATTCAGGTAATTTGACACATCTTGGTAATACTTTAATGGAACTTCATTTTAGTCAACATCCTGTGCATTGAAACGAAATTTGGGTGTTTTGTTTAATATCGATCAAATATCAGGGCTTGCTTGAACTCCATTTGCTGGTTGACACAAGAAAGTCGTACACAAATTAACGATATCGAACTTGATTTAGCTAATTTATGATAAAACCACAACACTCAATTTATTAATTTCATCTGCCTGAAACCCACATTTGAAGATTCGACTTCTCAGACGTCCTTTAAATGCTGTGAATACCGAAGAAGCCATTGCGGTTTGTGTTAAATATGTCCATTGCCTAGTAGACCAAAAACCAATGTGTGATTATTCACAGCCTCCTAAAATATGCCATACATTACAGTAAGACAAGTACGAAAAAAATTGTTTGGTACTCTCTGTTAA